GTGCACAGGGGCTGTGCATGGAGTGTGTGCGTGTAGTGGGTGTGCACAGGAGCTGTGTGGGGAGGTGTGCATGGGTGTCGTGGGCATGCACAGGTGCGTGAATGGGTTTGGGTCCAATTTGGCCTTGTGGGAGGTGAGTGCCTGAGTCAGGTGGTCACAAGTCTTTGCGGAGGTTTGTGAGGGGCATCTGTGGAGTGTGTGACGTGAAGATGGGGTATGTATCTCTGAACCTTCTAGGGCACACGTGCAGTTGCGGTGCTCTAGGTCAACCGGGGGTGCTGCTGTGTGCTGGGCTGTATTGCTAAGAAGCTTCAGGGGGAGGCAGACTGGGCTCAGAAGATATTGGTCGTAAGTGTAAATGTGTGTGTGTGTGCTGCATGAGTGTGCTACTGGGTTGTATTATCTACCAGTGTGTTATGTGTGTGGTACACTGGGCAGTGCAGTATGTACATGTGATATCAGTATCTGATAGCACAGTAACTGTCTTCCATCAGTTTCTCTGTGTATCTGTGTGCATTGGGTGGACACAGGTGTATCTCCTGTATGTACAGGTGATATTGGGCTATGTCCTCTTTCAGTTGCTTTGTGTGTGTGCACACATGCATGTGTGTGCATGCACTCGGTGTGGGTGTTGGGCACCAGAGGGTGGGGTTTACAGAGGGCCACGGAGAGGGTCAGGGAGAAGGTGCTGGGCATTTGGATCTAGTTAAGGCAATGGCATGGCTAATTATGCTCATTATGCATGAAATTATGCAAATGCAGGGGTCATCTAGGGATCAGAAGCGTTTTGTCCCCCTGCTCAGGCGGTGTGTGACTTCTAGTGCTCGCAGGTGATCTCCCCCACCCCCCTCCCATCTCCTGGGAGCCACCCTTGGCAGTCCTGGGGGGCCCTGTCCCATTGGTCCCGGCACCCCACCATCAAGCTCCCCAGCCTTCCAGGGTGAGCTGGGGGTGACTGGTTGGTAAGTCCCCCTGCTACCTCCCCTAGGTCTGCTTATTATTGGGAAAGAACATTCTCTTACAGGCAGGTTTGGAAAATCACTGAAGGTAGCCTCTCCCCAGCTTCCACTCATCCAGGAGAGGCTAAATTAAGATGTGAGAGAATTCTCCCTTCCACCGCCCTCTCTCCCCCACCTTCCCTTTTCCCCAAGCCTGTCAACTCTCACCTCCCTCTGCCCTCTACGTCTTCATCCTTGCCCTGTGCATGTCCTCCCCCCCCCCCCCATCCTCTATGCCTCCATGGTCTCTCCCTCTCTTCACCCGCATCTCTGTGGGGAGCTGGAGCTCCTGGTCCTTAGCATGGAGGAGATGGTCGTCATGGTAACCGTTGTCATGTGGATGGCTACTGAGCTAGGGATGAATAGTATCGAGGTGAGAGCTACCTGAGTCGAGGCTGGTAGGTTCACAGGAGGCTCTGTGTTGTCCCTCCGCCTCAGAGCCATACAGACACGTCCCCTCATACCACTTCCATGCCGGGCTTCTGTCGCCCCAAAGCCACGTGGCACTCTGTGCTTTCTGTGTCTGCCTTTCGGTGGATATGTTGGCAGTGTGTGTATTCTGGCTGCATCTCAGAGTGTGTCATTTTCAGGGTCTCTGAGGCTTTGGGTGTGTGTGTGTGTGTGTCTTATCTGGAAGCAGGGGTTAGGGACTAACATTAAGACTGGTCACCAGGAAATGAGGGAACTTCCTCTTGGACTTACCATGTTATCAGTTTGGGGTCCCAGGAAGGACAGCCCTCTTGTAGTCTACCCTCCTAGCCAGTGCCCTGCCAGCCACTCCAGAGCGACAGTGATTCCTGCTGGGCCCCAGACCTGTAGAGTGACTTCAGGCTGCTTTCTGCCTTTCTTGTGAATATACTTTTATTGGTATTATTAAGGGGTTATACAGAAGGGTTACCATCTCGTAAGTCACGTAATGAGTCTATTTTTTTCCCTTCTGTTCATGAGGCTAGAACTCAGGGCCTGGGTGGTGTCCCTGAGCTTTTGCATGCAAAGCGAGCACTCTACCTCTTTGAGCCACAGTCCACTTCCTGTTTTCTGGTGGTTTATTAGAGATAGGAGTCACAGGGACTCTTCCGCCCAGGCTGGCTTTGAACCGCGATTTGTCAGATCTCAGGATCACAGGCGTGAGCCACCAGTTCCTGGACATGTGTACATTTCTTTTCTGGACAATATCACCTCTTCCTTCACTTTTCCCCAGTCAGGCTGCTTTCTGAACAACTGGAGAGGCAGGTGCAGAGTCCCCAGAGGACTTGTGGAGGGAAGGGTGCGGGGACCTTGGAGCGCCCTGAGCCTGGGTCCTGGGGATTTGTTCTGGGCAGAAGCGGGAGCTGATGAAAGTTGGACAGTGGCTGCTCTGAGCTCTTGGAATGCTTACAAAGGAGGAAGACCCTATGATTAGTCACGAGAGCAATTACCCTAATTGTTCCACTCCATGACTCACTGGCAGAAAGTAAATACTGATTAATTCATTACTTTGAGATGTGTGTGTGTGTGTGTGTGTGTGTGTATTCCATGAGGGGTATCTCTTGGCTTCTTGCCCTGGCTGGGCTGGGTAGGACTTGGGAACAGGTGCTGGAAGCTGGGGACAGGAAGCCAGGATTGAGATTCTCTCTCAGCATTATACAAACGCCAGAAGGGCCCATCAGTGGCTGGGGTGTGAGAGGCTGAGCACAAAATACCATGCCAGTCCAGCCCTCTCCCACTCACCCGCCGTCCATGGCTCCCAGCGCCATTCATGCGCTGCCAGTGCTTGGGCACTGAGGTCACCCAAACCTCTGGGCTCATCTGATGTACAATCTGGATGAAAAACGACCTGTTTCCAAGAGAAAGCCACCACCCAGACATGGACGGCTTCCTATGAAGTCCTCCCCGCTGCCCCACCTCACTGGTTTTCTAGCCTCAACCGCCGGGTGAGGCTGGAGGGCGAGGCAGGCCGGCTGCAAGGGCACTGGCTGCATCTCCCCGACCTTGGGGCCTTTGCTTATTCCATTCCCTGTGTGAGATTGCCTTGCTCTCTCCAGTTCATGGACGATGACCCAAACACTGTGTGCTTCAAATCCTTGAACCGGAAGTTGTCCCCCATTCCCAAAAGGCTTTCACGAGAGGTGGCGGGTCTTGGGCTGAGGCAGAGCAGAGCCATGCCTGCCCTCTCTGGGGTCTGCAGCCCTGCCTTTGAGGTCCCTAGTGCTGGACAGAGTTGGAGCCAGGATCCCGACTCGGCTTCCTGGCTCCGTGAATTGGAGCTTTGGAGAAGATGCCTTCTCCCCCTGCTGACCCTGTAAAGGGAAGCAGTAAGTGGGTTCCACACTGAGTTTGTTCCTTGGACTGCAATGAGGCAGTTGAGGCCGGAGCTAACTTCCTGTTTGGGGAAGATACAAAGCCAGGGCTGGAGCCAACACCACAAGCTCTCCTTCTCCTTCCTGCACCCCCCAAAGTGCTTCCTTCTTGGACCCCACACCTCCCTGCACCCAAGGCTGTCTGATAAGGAATTTGGGTACCACTTAATGCCCTAAGACAAGACTGGATCTCATCATATCTCAGCCCTTTATCGGCCTGGAGGAGCACCTGCTGCATACTGGGTGTAAATCACTGCACTGCGTGTGGATCACCTCATGGTGTGTGAACCAGTGTACTGCGTGTGAACCAGAGCACTCTGTGTGAACCAGTGCACTGCAGGTGAATCAGAGCACTCTGTGTGAACCAGAGCACTCTGTGTGAACCAGTGCACAGTGTGTGAACCAGTGCACTGCAGGTGAATCAGTGCACTCTGTGTGAACCAGTGCATGGTGTATGAACCAGAGCACTCTGTGTGAACCAGAGCACTCTGTGTGAACCAGTGCACTGTGTGTGAACCAGTGCATGGTGTGTGAATCAGTGTGCTGTGTGTGAATTAGTGTACTGCGTGTGAATCAGGGCACTGCATACTAATCAGTGTACAGTGTGTGAATCAGTACACTCTGTGAATCAGTGTACTGCGTGAGAATCAGTGAGCTCTGTGTGAATCAGTGCATGGTGTGTGAATCAGTGTGCTGTGTGTGAATCAGGGTGCTGTGTGCTAATCAGTGCACTGCATGTGAATTGGTACACTCTGTGTGCATCAGTGCACTGCATGTGAATCAGTGCGCTCTGTGTAAACCAGTGCACTGCATGTGAATCAGTGCGCTCTGTGTAAACCAGTGCACTGCATGAGAATCAGTGAGCTCTGTGTGAATCAGTGAATGGTGTGTGAATCAATGTGCTGCGTGTGAATCGGCACTGTGTGATAATCAGTGCACAGTGTGTGAATCAGTGCACTGTGTGTGAATCGGTGTACTGTGTGTGAATTGGTGATGGTATGTGAATCGGTGCACTGGGTGTGAATTGCACTGCGTGTGAATCGGTGCACAGTGTGTGAATCAGTGCATGATGTGTGAATTGGTGCACTGGGTGTGAATCAGTACATGTTGTGTGAATCGGTGCACTGCGTGTGAATCAGTACATGGTATGTGAATCGGTGCACTGTGTGTGAATCCATACATGGTATGTGAATCGGTGCACTGCGTGTGAATCGGTGCACTGCATGTGAATCCATACATGGTATGTGAATCGGTGCACTGCGTGTGAATCCGTACATGGTATGTGAATCGGTGCACTGGGTGTGAATCGGTGCCCTTTCTGTGACTCAGTGTACTGCGTGAGCATCCACACTCCTTCCCTTCACAGCCCAGCATGGCAGTGCTCTTCGATGAGGCAGTGTTCTTCACTGTAACTTGCTCCAGATCCCACATTTAGGAAGCGATGGGTCTCAGACTCAAACCCAGCTCTAGTTCTTCTACTCAGGGGTTCGGGTCAAGGTCCTGGGGCAGCCCAGGGGTCCCTGGTGGTGGTCATCAGGCATCTTGAGTGGGTAGGAGGTGGCCGCTGGCCGGCTTCTGGCTCTGTTACCCGCATGGACGTGATGTGGCCTGCCAGGCTACTGGCCTCCGATGCTGAGCCCTGCGTCTGTCTCTACTCTGCTAGGCTCAGCGCTGGCGCAATGAGAACTTCGAGCGGCCCGTGGACCTCGAGGGCTCTGGGGATGATGACTCCTTTCCCGATGATGAACTGGACGGCCTCTATTCAGGGTCGGGCTCGGGCTGTAAGTACCTCCCTGGGCTTTCCCTACCTCTCAGTAATGATCCTTTTGCACCTAGGCCCCACTCCCAGGAGTCTTCTTAGGCCCTCTAGAATGAGCTTCCCACTGTACAGAGGTCTCACGGTTCCCAGGAATGAGAAGGGCAGAGTCCTCTCTGGAGGGAGCAGGCCAGGGAGGGGCGGACTCCCAGCTCTCCATGTCCTCTTGCCTCTGAGCCTCCACTGTGCTGCTCAGTCTTTGCATCCTGCTGTCCCTGCTCTCTTTTTCCCTGGCAGGAAACAGGGACACCCTCCTAAGCCAGTGTTCCTGGCACTGCTCCACCCATGTGGAGGAGCTCAGCTGGCCATGGCAAGTCCTCAGCACAGACAGCTTGATTGGCTCCTCTGGCATCCAATCCGCTGAGGCCAAGGGCAGGGTTAAGACAGGGATGCTGGCTGGGAATGTGGCTCAGTGGTAGAGTGCTTGCCTAGCATGCAGGAAGCCCTGGGTTTGATTCCTCAGTACCACATAAACAGAAAAAGCCAGAAGTGGCACTGTGACTCAAATGGTAGAGTGCTACCCTTGAGCAAAAGAAGTTCAGGGATAGTGCCTAGGCCCTGAGTTCAAGCGCCAGGACAGGAAAAAGAAAAAAAAATGACTGGGGGCTGGTGCCTGAGCCCTGGAAGTGGTCACTGAAGTAGGTGGCAGAGGTGGCCCAGGAGGGGTCCAGAGTATACACTTTAGAACTGGCTGTGTACTTTCCAGCTGGCTTCTTTAGGGTTGTGCTTTTTAAAATCTTGGTAGAAATCCTTCCTAAGCCAGGTGCCGGTGGCTCACGCCTGTAATCCTAGCTTACTCAGGAGGCTGAGAGCTGAGGGTCGAGGTTCAAAGCCAGCCCAGGCAGGAAAGTCCAAGAGACTCTTATCTCCAACAAACCACTAGAAAACCGGAAGTGGCGCTGTGGCTCAAGTGGTAGAGCGCTCGCCTTGAGCTGAAGAGCTGAGGGACAGCGCCCAGGCCCAGAGTTCAAGCCCCGTGATCAGGGGTGAAAAAAAGAAATAAATCCTTCCTAAAGGGTTACGTCTCTGCTTCCAAACCTGCCCACCCGATTCTCCCCCCTCGCCCGCCTGGCTCTTGCTCAGTCATCTCACGTCCCTCCAAGTTCCTTTGATTATCTGGGGCTGAGTCGGTCAGATGGCCCAGGAACATCCTCTCTTGCAGCCTATCCTGGCCTGGGAAAGGGGCTTAGTAACCCACTGCCTTGAGCTCATGCTGAGTGTGTCCCTCGGTCATGCCTTTAACCCCCACTGAAACCTGCGGCCAGAAGAACCGTGGTTGCTACTGCAGGCCCGGTGGGCTGGACTAGTGAGGGAAGGCCTCCTGGCTGTGGTGGCCCTGGAAGATTTGGGGCTAGGTGAGAGATGGTGGCCAGTCTCCCTCCTGTCCCTCATGTGTTCCTGGGAAAATAGGGCGGGGAGGGAGCGGGGTGTCCCGTCACGCTCGAGAGACCCCCCCGCCCCCCGCGCTGGCACCCGCCTCGCTCCCCAGGACGCTTCCTCTTTCCACCCCTCAGACTTCGAGCAGGAGTCGGGCCTGGAGACAGCCATGCGGTTTGGCCCTGACGTGGCCCTGGCCACGCCCACCACGCCCGCTGTGCTGCCCACGGAGGACATCCAGCCCGTGGGCTCCCCGGTTGAAGAGCTCCCCTCCGAGCACCCCAGCCCAGAGCCCGTCACCAGCCCCCCGGTGGTGACAGAGGCCCCGGAAGAGCCCAGCCAGGGAGCCACCACCATCTCCACCACCACGGCCGCCACTGCCGCCGCCACCGCTGCCGTCACCGCCGCCACCACCACGGAGGCCCTGACCGCGGCCACGGCAGCCACCACAGCAGCCACCACCGTCCCCAGCTCCCCCGCGGCGGCCCCTGCCACGGCCACCGCTGCAGTCGTAAGGACCACCGGCGTGCGGAGGCTGCTGCCTACCCCACTGACCACGGCCGCCACGGCCCGGGCCACCGTCCCCACGGTGCCCTCGCCGCCCACCACCGTGGCTGGCGTGGACACAGAGTCCCCGACGCCCAGGCTGGCCAGCACAGCTACCTCCCGGCCCAGAGCCCTTCCTTGGCCAGCCACCACCCGGGAGCCCGATGCCATCAAGAGGATTACCCTGCCCCTGGGGACAACTGTCCCCGGTCCCACAGAGGTGGCTCAGGTGGGTGTGGCTGGGGCATGAGGGAGGAGGGGTGGGACCGGGTGGGGGTCAGAAAGTGCTGGAATGAGCCAGGCAGGGGTGGAGGGGCCGGAGGACCGGGCTGCGTGCAAGTCCCAGGAGGGCAAGTGTAAGTCCCTCAGATGGGGTGACCGGGGACGGGGCGTGTGTGCCTGTGTGTGTGCGTGCGCTTGCGTGTGTGTCCTGACATTGGGAGGGAAGGACCTGGGTGGGGAGGGGGTGACAGGGAGGACCCTAGTAATGGCCACGCCCTCAGCAGCCTGCCAGCTTGGATCTCATTTGCCCACGTGACTCCAAGCACGTCGCCTCCTCTCTCTCCTTCCCCGCATCTGTGAAGAGGAGAAAGCCGTTGGCGGCGCTGTGGGATTGAGGTCTCCAGGCATGTTGAGGGTGCTCGGGACAGCGTGTGGCCCTAGAGACAGGGCACGCGTGGCTTCCCATCGTCCTTGACGTCCCCGCCGTGGGCCTGAGCCTGGTGGCCTCTGACCGCAGAAGCGCCGTTAGCTCAGCTGCGGACCGCGCCTGGCCTGGCTCTGTGCTTCCCACCCCCACCTGCGGGGGGCGCTGCCACCAGTCCCTCTTACGGAAGAGGCAGCTGAAGCACAGGGTGTGGAAGGCATCTTTTGTGGCTCCATAGCCAGTGGTGGAGTCGGCCCCGGATGCCTGCGGACGCCAGCTCTTGTGCTTGTGTTTGGGGTGATACCAGTCGGGGTGCCGGTGAGGTAAAGGTGGCCAGGGAGGAAGGGCATCAGGGCAATGGGAGCTGCGGCTCATGCGGGTGGCCCGCACGGAGGGGTCGTGATAGCCCTGGGCAGGCACTAAAGCCCTCCGCTTCGGCTCTCCCTCCAGGAGTGCCAGTCCCTTGGTCCCCCACCAGCCCCCCAAGTGCAGGGTTTTCCTCTGGTGTTTCCCATGAGCCGAGGGCCGAGCAGGAAGGGGAACAATGGTGAAGCTGAGCACTGGACGGGAGCCAGGGCCTGGGCTGCAGGTGCAGCCCCCACACACTGCCTGTCTTTGCCTCCCCCTGGCCCCTTCCCATGCTCTCTGCAAAGCAGCTGCACCCCTGCCCTGAACGCTCCCTCTGCCCTCACTTTGGTCCTGAAGGAGGGAATGAGGAAGTGGGGGGGGAGGGGCAGGCCCCAAGGGCTGACTCCAGGCCAAGGTGCTCACCTCTGCCCTGGCCACGGGGTGGGAGGGCGGGGTGGGGTGGAGGACAGGTCCCTAGATGGCTTCTTCATCGGAAGTCCCCAAGGATTGTTCTACAGCCAGAGGGGAAGTGATGGGGACAGGAAGTGGACAGGATGTAGCCAGACTGAGAATAGAGGCCGCACCGTAGAGTGATTTGAAACACAGACCGTGGAACTGGAGAGCCTTGGATCTGAGTTCTGCTGCTAACCCGTACCAGCTGTGTGTCCTTAGGCATGCCGCTGAACCTCTCTGAGTGTAATTTATTATCACCCAGGGTGATGATACCTCCTCCTTCATGGGTTGATCATTTAGGGCCACTGTTCACAAGTATGGCGGGTGCTTAGCTTAGTGGGTGCTGGCACCACTGGGTGATGGGGCGATGGCGCAGGCTTATGTGGAGGAGTGCCCAGGGGCACTGCACCTTGGTCTGTGGGCTCACACCCCTCTCTCTGCAGACCCCAACTCCAGAATCCTTCCTCATCACCATCCGGGGTGAGCCAGAGGTGCCGGTGAGCGGGGGTCCCAGCGGGGACTTTGAGCTGCCAGAGGAGGAGACCACCCAGCCAGACACAGCTAACGAGGTGGTGGCTGTGGAAGTTCCTGTGGCCAAACCGTCACCCCCGTCCGGGACACTGCCCAAGGGCGCCCGCCCGGGCCCGGGCCTTCTGGACAATGCCATCGACTCAGGCAGCTCTGCAGCTCAGCTCCCTCAGAAGAGCATTCTGGAGCGGAAGGAGGTTCTCGTAGGTAAGGCCTGAGCTCTGGCCCGGGGAGCCTGTCTCTCTGGGAACCCAGAAAAGTGTTCAAGGCATCCTGGGTGCCCAATAGAAAGAGGAAGCCGACCGACGACCCCCTCTTCCCCTGACCTTTGCCCTTCCAGTCTGACCTTGACTTTCTCTCCATCTCTGGCACTTTCCTTTGTGCTCTCTGATCCCAGCTTTCCCAGTTACTCTGGTTGTCCCGAAGGACTTTCCTTCCTGAGTTCTGATCTCTGGTCCATCCTTTGGTTCGACCTTCACCTGCCCTTGACGACAGTCCTTAGGACCTGTTGGGCTACGTCCTGGCTCCCCACCTGGGGCAGCTGCCATCTCCCCAGGCCTCTCTCTCATGGGGAGAGCGGGGAGGCCTGTTGTGCTGACTAGATGCCGAGGAACGCGTTTGTCCAGAAGCTTCGGCGCCAAGCAGGTGTCATAATCCAGTGGGCAGGGTGTCTTCTTTCCTGGCCATTTTGAAACTGTGGTACAACTTGGAGGGGAGGGCACGGCTCACACACCTCTCATGGGACCGGCAGGAGGACTTAGTGTGTTAGGTGATGAGCACTGGGGGCCGGTGAGCGCCTGGAATGGTGCATCACCAAAAACTTGAACCCCAGACCCAGGATCCCCACCCCAGCGCCCACCTCTGGGCCTTCAGCTCCCCCTCCCGCTCCGGGGCCTTGACCTCCGTCTCTTCCTCCACAGCTGTGATTGTGGGCGGTGTGGTGGGCGCCCTGTTTGCCGCCTTCTTGGTCACGCTGCTCATCTACCGCATGAAGAAGAAGGACGAGGGCAGCTACACGCTGGAGGAGCCCAAGCAGGCAAGCGTCACCTACCAGAAGCCTGACAAGCAGGAGGAGTTCTATGCCTAGAGGAGCCGCAGTGCCTCCTGCAGCCTCAACACCTCCCTCCCCTCCCCGTCCCCAGCCAGCCCCCGCAGCCCAGGCCTGGGACCAGGAGCCCAGCCCCAGGTCTTCTCTGCCCTCCTTGTCAAAGCCTGCCCGGGCTGCCAGCATCACGCAGACCATCCCTGAGCAACGGCACACTGCCACCCGCCCCAGACTGTGCCCTTACAAGCTCCTCTCTTGTACCCACCACCACCAGCCTGGGGCTTCGGGACCTTATGTCTGATGGACAGGAGGAAAGAAGCTCCTGTTTGGCTGGTGGAAGCAGGGGAAGGGCTGGGACTGGAGATGGCCCGAGGCTGTCCGCTCACCTGCTCATCCTGCGGGGCTGGGGTGAGCGCTCCTTTCTGGGGTGGAGAGGCAGTCAGGCTGGTTTTCAGGACCAATATGTGGCAAACTGAGCTCTCAAAATCATCCAGACACTGAAGCCTCTTGCTCTTGTCCCAGGGCCTGTCTCTGCCTGGGTGAGAGGGTGCCCTTGATCACCAGCCTGTCCCCGTGGGAAGACTGGGGCTCCTCCTCCACCCAGCGCACACGCGCCCAGGCTGCGCCCCTTTCTCCAGTGTCTCCCGGGGAACGGCTTCCCGTGGGCTCAGGGGCCACCCGGGATGGGGAGAGGCAACACTCTCCTGTGAATGGTCTCCACCCGGTCGCCCACTTTCCCACACACACTGCCATGTTCACACCCACGACAGAAGCACGTGACAGGAAATCATATGTAGCCCTGACTGCCCAGACGACACTGAGACCAACAACCCGCCCCATCTCCCCCCAACGACGTTTCTGTTCATGCAGTGCCCAGTAAACCCACAAACCCGCAACGCAAGCCACCGGCCACGCGCGGGCTCCTCCTCTGTCCCCCCTACATACATGCAACCCGACACATGCCGCCTCCCGGGGAAGGTGGAATCAAGCTGGAGCACTCAGCCCATATTGGGTCCCCTAGAGTTGTCCCATTTCCACTCGGTGCCCACACCAGCCACCTTGCTGCCGCCCCCCCAGCCTTGTCAGACAATCCCACAGGGATGCACAATCTCACCGTACATGAGCCACACTTGTGCTGGAGGAAGACAGGAGGGCACCCACCTTTCCTGGAATGAAGTGTGGTGGTGGTGTGTATGTGTGTGTGTGTGTGTGTGTGCGCGTGGGGTAGGAGTGGGGGTCATGGCCTCAGCCTTTCAGGGCTTTGTGCACCTGTGGGCCTGGCCTCACACCCGGCTGCTTCCTTCCCTCCTGTGGCCCACAGGGGAGGCTCAAGGCCAGCCCCCAGCAACCTGGGGTGATGAGGCTCCTCCAAGGCTGAAGGAAGATGGCCCAGGCGGTGGAGGGAGCTTGGCTCTCCCAGGACCAAAGGCCCAGGTGGAGGGGGCAGCTCCGGCTCCGTGTCTCCCCACGTCCCCTTCCTGCTGTGAGCCAGGGGCTGACTCTGCCTCCCAGGACACACGTCTCCAAAGTGCCTGTGAGGGCGGGCCTCCGCCCCGGCCCTCCGCCCCACAGCCTTCCAGGCTGACCTCAGACCCACCTACCCCCAGCCTCCCTGCGGACACCTGCTGGCCCCTCTGACCCAACAACTCTGCCACGCTGGTTGATGCTGCCTGGACTCCCAGCTGGCAGCAGCCCATCCAGCGCCCCAGGCCCCACGGGCAGAGCGTAGATGTGCAGGGGCAGGTGGCCGTGGGGGAGAGGTGTCACAGGCCCCCCAAGCCCACCTCCCTTTCTTTGTTACTCCTGAAAGTGGGACCATTTTGTTGGTATTTTCAGACATGGGGTCACCATTCTCCGTCCTGGGGGGAAGGAGGTGCCCGGTGGGGGCTCTAGGTAGGAGCCGAAGGGACGTGGTGTGAGTTCTGATTGGCTGGCCCCCCCCACCTCTCACTCATAACCCAGATTCACATCAGCTCCTCCCCGCCCCCCTGCAGTTTATTTTCTGTTACTTGTCAAGATTCCCTGGCGGCAGACTTCAGCGGGCTGGGGGGTCGGGGGGAGGCTGAGGCCACAGGGGCAGCATCCCAGAGCTACAGCAGCTTGTGTTTCCCCAGGGGTGGGGGGGGTCACACTTCCAGGCTGGGCTCCATCTTTCAGACCCCAAGTCTGCCTCGGTGGGCCCAGGGCTTTGTAAGAAAGTCAGTGGATCCCAGTCTTTGAAGAAGGGCCGGAGCGGGAGGAACTCTGGGCCCAGGAGACCTGGAAGGGGCGGTTTGGCTTCCACCAGCCCTGTAGCAGAAAGGTCAGATACAGGGAGCAGAAGACGACCCAAGTCCCCCCAGCCCTCGCCTCCTCCTGGGTGGGCTACTGGCCAATGGGCAGAGAGGAGGCGGTGCCCAGGGACCCGGCATGGGGGGCGGGGGGATGGAGACCCAGCAGTGAGCACTACTGCATTGGGTTGAAACCCACGTTTCACATCCTGTGGGCTGCCTCTGGATTTGGGGCTGGGAGCTCAGCCTCTTGGCACAGCCTCCCCCATTTTGTCCTAAGCATTTGAGAGACAGGCTGAGGGCTTGGTCCATGGAGCCGTGGACAGGAGGCCAATGTTTAATGGCTTTGTCCTTGTGAAGTTTCCTGGTCTGAGCAGCCCAGCTGCCCTGGACCAGCCTGACGGGGAGCAGGGTGCTTCTCAAGAGAGTGCGGCTCAACGGATGAGCTGGAGCCCTCTGTGGTGCAATGTGGGGTGTAGGGTTCCCCCACTCTAGGTACGGTTTGGTACGTGCAGGGCCTGCCCAATCGGGTCCACAGACACCCTGATGCTTCCTAGAGGGTGTCCGGGGCCCTGGCGTTTCCCGGAAGCACAGCGCATTCCAAATGAGAGGGAGCTTGTGTGGCTGGAGCGGTCTGTCCTTAGCTTTGGCGTTTGGAGACTGCAGCGCAGGCTGAGGACCCTAGGGCAGCAGGCGGGGCTTGCACTGTCTTCTCCACGCCCCCTGCAAGGCTGGTGGGCCCCTTGGTGGCTGCAGGCCTGTGGCAGGGGTGGAGGGTGCTCAGGCCAGGCTCAGCGGTTGACACAGCTGCCCCCTCTAGGCCCAGGTCACACATGGAGCAGACCTGGCTTTGCCTCCAGGGCAGGGGGGGGGTCTCGGCTCTCCTGGCTTTCCTCTGTCAGCTGCATTCCCGGGCTCACCTCGCCAGGCCTCCTGTCTGTAAATAGAAGCCCACAAACTATGTACAGATTTAGAGACGCCACCTGGGCCCTGAAAGTCACCATCTGAGCGCCAAGGGCTCCGGCATCTCCCAGGTGCCTGCCCGGCGCCCCTGTGCCCCCGGCCCCAGCGTGGCGAATGCATGTAAATATTTTTCGTAGGCAGCGTGGCTCCAGGGAGCCCCCCCCCGAAGACAGTGTCCCCCCCCTCCCTCCGGTGCGTGCTTTCTCCTGTACAGAGACAACTCCCCCCTCCCCCAACCCGGCCTGCGACAGCTGGGAATCTGTCCTTCCCTCCCCCAGACCGTCCTACCCCATTCGCTCCCCATAACCTGTTTATTAATCATACCTGTCCTGAGTTTCTGGCCAAAACTTCAAAGGAGGAGAAGCGGAGGAGAGAATGGACAGAGCCTGGCGCCGCCCGCTGTGGGCGCTCACCCGCCCCCGCCTTGGGAAGGAGCTGGTTTGGTTTTTTTGTTTTGTTTGTTTTGTTTTGTTTTGTTTTTAACATTTCCCGTGCTGTGCCCATTTATAAGAGGAAATAAAATTAAGCTGAAAGGAAGCACCGTGGCCCCAGAGTGAGATGAATATGGAGGCTGGAGCTCACCCTCAGCCTCCTTCCCTGTAAAAGGGGTGAAGGGGGGAAGGGGGGAGGGGGGAAGGCGGGAGGGAAATGGACCCACAGCCCCTCACGGGAGCCGTTGGGGTAAAAGCTGCCCTTGGTTGAGGGTTTGGGCAGCACAGAGCTGAGCGCGGTGAGGCCAGTGGGTGGGGGTGCAGTGGGGTGGGTGGAGGGCTGGGGTGGGGGTGGGGTTCCCCTCCAGCAGGCGGAGAATGCTGGCTTTAGAGCGCCAAGAAAATCATCAGGGCCAGAGCTATCTGGGGGTACTTGGGGTGGTTTTTCCTGCCCAGGTGTTGACATTTCCCAGCCCTTGACTCCTCTGAGCCTCAGTTTCCCCACCTTTCACACGGACCGGAAAGCTCTGTGGGTGAAACGTGGTGAGGCAGATGTAAGGCTGAGCCTCTGCACAGGGTCCTGCACACCCCATCGTGTTGAGGGTGTCATCGATGGTGGAGGCGGGACAGAGCAGAGCTGGGGACAGCTTGGGTGGCTTTCAGGGCTGGGAAGGTCTTGGAGCCAGCCCAGGCCCAGCAGGGTGTGGAGCCTGGCCCTAGAGCCCATAGCTGGGTGCTTCCTAGCTCCTGCTACGCGGGGGAGCTTCAGAGCCCACCGGGCCATCCCCAAGCCCTTCCCCTTCCCCTTCCCGGTCTCCATGTTGCCTGCTGCTGTTCCCTGGGGCATTGAGGGCTCTTCTGCCCCCTGCCGGGGGACAGCCCCCAGGTATAGGTGCCAAGGCCATGCCCTTCCCTCCTAGGAGGGAGACCTCTCCATGACCCACACAGAATTCCAGGAGCTTTTTCCACTTCAGCTGTGATACACAGAGCCCTGGTGGTCCTAAGATGGGGTGCAGCCTAAGGCCTATGGGTTTGGCCTGGATCTTGCCATTTTCTCCTCTCCCCTCTGTCTCTTCCCCATCCTTCTTCCAGCTCTTTCCAATAAAGGCTGTCCACTCTATACCTAGCCTCTGCTTGGAGCTGGGAGATCAGACGTGGCCAGAACAGACGCAGCCCAGCCCTCGGAGCACAGACTATCCACAGAGGAGACAGACAACGACGGATCCTAGCACTAAAGACACATGTCAGGGCTAGGGTCTTCCCCCACAGCTGCCAGACGCCCTCCAGGGCGCCCAGTTACAGCTTGGCAGTTCAGAGACACAAACCAGAGGCCCAGAGCCTTGCCGTGGGACCTCAGATAGCTACCTTGAGCCTTTAAAACGTGCACAGCCTTAAAACAGGGCCACAGCTGTGGCTAAGTGGTTTTAGCCAAGGGCTGGGCCATGGTTAGAAGCCTGCAGAGAGAGAGGAGCTGATGGATCAGGTTCATAGCTGCCCATGTAGGAATGCTTCTGGAAGGTAAGGCCCCCCTCCCTCCTGAGGCCCCGTAGCTCACTGTCTCCCCTTTGCTCCTTCACCACCACCCCATCACCTTCTCTGTTGACGTTGGTAAGCTGGTTTGTCATCTAGGAAGGGAGCTCAGTCTTGGAGCCAAACAGATACCCTCTGAGCGTTCGTGGCCGCACGTGCTAATAATGGGCACAAGAAGGCTGCTATGTTTTGGCTCTTGCGAGGGTGTGGAGATAATACGCTGGAAGCCTGTGATCCTATTATATTCCTTTGCAGTTTCCAGCTTTCACCAGGAAAACCTTTATTCAGATCCCAACTCTGCCCAGGACTCGCTGTGTGACCTTGTCCCGTGACCTTGGTGAGTTACTGGGACTCAAGTTGTCTCTCCTGTACAGCGGGGGTGGCGGCACTTAGAAGCATGCCAGCCACAAGAAGGCCCTGCACCCATGTGCAGGCTGCGCTTCCCATTATTGGCAGGGCCCCCGCATGCTGCCTGGGAACTGAATGACGACCCTGAGCCTGGGCAGAGATGAAACTATCCGGTGTGGACCATGACTGTGGCTAGGGATGATCTGCACCAGCGCGGATGCCGGGCACTGCGGATCGGCCGCACGGATGGCATGGCGGGGAGCTGAGCCTTCTCTCGCTGGGTCTTTTCACCCAAGGGATGAGCAACCACACTGAGGGGGAAGGAGGAAGAATAGCCCATTGTTTCTGGCAGTCCCAGAGGTCACAGTGGCCGGCCCCAGCTGCCCTGAGAACAGAGTGAGCTCTCCTTCCCCGGGAAGGGCCACCCACCCTGTCTCTGCCCAGCCGAGGGTCCCCTGAGGACTGACTTTCTGGGGATGGAGGCTCAGCACCGCCAGAGCTGGGGGCCTAGTCCCTATTCGAGGAGAAAGGAGAGGCTGTCACAGGAGCAGAGGAATGAAGCTCAGAGCTAGGGGGTAGCCAGCAAAGGGCACTGGACAGGGAACTGTGCCAGGCACCCAGGTACATCTTATCGTAGCTCTGGAAAGAGCAGAAGCCCAGGCCCTGAAGCTCTGAGAGGTGAAGTAAGAGGTTCCTTCCATCTCTCCCCACCCCCACTCATGTCTTCCCTCTAGTAATTAGCCCGCTGTGTGAGTGTGAACAGGTTGACCGAGTGTCTAGCCTTGATGGGAGGATCAGCAAACCAGAAGCAATTGGGAGTTAAGCTCAAACACGTGTTAATCCACGGTGTTTGTGTTGGTGCCTTCCAGTTGCCAAAAGCATCCACAGACATTCTCCTTCAAGAGAATTATTACCCCATTTCACAGACGGAAACAACTCATCAAATAACTCAATTTCATCAATAAAGATATTTCAAGGAGCCAGGCCCTGCTGGCTCAGGTCTAATCCTAACTACTCAAGAGGCTGAGACCTGAGGATTGAGGTTCAAAGCCAGCCTGGGCAGGGAAGTCTGGGAGATTCTTATCTCCAATGAACCACCAGAAAACTGCAAGCGGAGCTGTGGCTCAAAATGGTAGAGCACTAGACGTGAGCAGAAAAAGGTCGGGAACAGCACCCAGGCCCTGAATTCAAGCCCCACAACCGACAACAATAACCACAAAAAAGATACTGCAAGGGATAATAGAAGAATATGGATGAAAGTGTTTGTCCTGTTACCCACACTGCTCCTGAAGTCATGGGCATAATCGATGTTCCTGTCGCAGCCTCCTGAGGAGCTAGGTCCACAGGTGTGTCCTGGGGACACCCATCCAGAGGATTTACAGATAAAATTAAAAGACTTGTTCACCGATCAATGTGTGAACCCAGTAGGGATCCTGGCTGTAACACCTTTTTATTAAAAATGTCAGTGATATCCTGATGCCAGTTCCTCACACCCGTGACCCTAGCGACTCGGGCAGCTGAGATCTGGAGTTTGTTAGCCGGTGGGAGTTTATTCTTCACCAACAGTCAGGCTGTGTGTGTGTGGTGTGCACACATGTGCACCGTGGCTTGCGGTCGAGGGGTGATGTGGTCAGATCGGTGGTTTGTAGAACTGGCCCCAGCCGTCCACAGGAAGGAACTGAGTCAGGTTGGCCGGAAGTGGTGATAATCACCAGGTGTGAGTGAGTGTCTGGGGCTCAGTCAGTACCTGCTGTGTGAAATACAGGCCAACCAGCGGGCCTCAGCAGGACTCGGCCCTCCCCTCCTGTTCCCGGTGCCGCCCACAGCATTAGCGCACCGCAAGGTTGGATTTCCCCGTGGAGGCAGGGGGGGCGGTGGGTGTGGAGAGGAGGGGACCCTCACTGTCCGTCTCTCGGGATCGGAGCAGCCCCGCAGCGGCTTTAGCCTCCGAAGGCCCGGGGGAGGGAGGGATGTGCGCAGGGAAGCCGGCTGGCCTCTGTTTCACCAGCCAACACCTACAGTACAGGAATTTGAGGGAGGAATCCGATGCCCGACTGGAGGTTACGACCCGAGTTGGGAGATTGATAGTAGATTAAGGAAAAGAAAATGGGAGATGGTGGGACGGTTTTGTTCTGGTTTTGTTTTGAATTGTGAGACAGTGTCCCTGAATGGCAGGATTACAGGTGTGGGCCACACACCCAACCCTTGTGCAGAATGCAATGCTGGAGAGTCTAGAGCTACAGAAGGAGCGTGTGAGAGTGGAGACAGACAGACAGAGACAGGGAGAGACAGAGAGAGGTCACATTTCTGCTCCAGAAAGGCGACTCAGGGTTTCTAGGAGGGATAACTGAGTTGGGGGGCAGGGTGAGGGGGGGCGGCCACATAACAGGACCTGGAGGAAGAGACAGGATGGGCAGAGTAATCCAGCAGGCCTTCCTGGAAGAAGAGGGACTGTAGGGGGAGGGCAGTGCCAGGGAAGAAGAGGAGTGTGACAGAGGCTGGGGGGGTGTTGGTGGTCTAGAAAGGTAGAGAGGCCCCTCCCCTCGTCTCTCCTCCCCTTCCTGTGGTCTTGGGCTGGGGGTGCAGGGCTGCCCTGGAACCAGACGCGGCTGCATTTCTGGGTCTCTGGTTGAGGGAGGGGGTGGCAGGGCGCAGGCTGGAAAGGCCTCCATTGTGCGTGAGGCTGGCTGGGCTGCGGGGGCTGCTCCATGGGGCCCTTTGTCTGCCTGCTCGCCCACCAGGCACCCCGGTGGCCCCTAGTCCTTGCTGGCCTGGGACTCCGGGCCGGATCATGGAGACAGGTTGTCCTGGCTTGGCTGGTCCTGATGTCATAGAGGAGGGAGGGGGCAGGCAGGGGGACATCGCAGCCTTTAAGGCTGGTTGGGGGCTGGTAAATGCCTTTTGCTCTCAGAGCTCCTGAGTAACTAGTTCATGCAATCCTTTAACCCTGTAATGCACAGTCGTGATGGAGAATCCCAGAGGGATGGAGTCTTTCAGAAGCGATTCTGTGGGAATCCTCTGAAAGAGTGACATCCTCGTCTGGTTTGTTATCTTCCTTCTAGGCTGCGGACTACATGGAAGACACAGAATAGTCATGGGATACTGGCGATTCTGTCAGCCATTGTCTCAGAGCCCAGAGAGGTAGCGTGACTTGTCCAGGGTCACACAGCTATTCGGTTGGTACACAGAGGCCTGGAGGGCACCCAGGCAGCCAAGCCCTCTGTATGC